GGACAAATTTTCAAAACCAACCCTTTTAGCATTTTATTTGCAAAAAACGACCTATTTTGAAAATAATTACAAAAACCGACCTGTTTTCAGCCCAGCGCTGAAAACAGGTCGGTTTTTGTAAAAAAGTCTCCGAAACATCACGGGAGTTCAACTCCCGTGAAGTTTATCGAGAAATTAAACTTCACGGGAGTTGAACTCCCGTGAAGCTTAATTTTGCTTAAAACTCCACGGGAGTTCAACTCCCGTGGAGTTACAGTCGAAAATTTCCAGCGAACCGATCTCGGTTCTTCGGGAATTTTTTGACTGCAACTTCACGGGAGTTCAACTCCCGTGAAGTTGCAGTCAAAAATTCCCGAAGATCCACTCTCTGGAAATTTTCGACTGAAACTCCACGGGAGTTGAACTCCCGTGGAGTTTTGGCTCCCCTATATAACCGCGCGTGCCCAGCCCGACAGCCCAAAACCCTAACCCTTCGTTCCGCCCCTGTGCCGTCGCCACCGCAGCAAGGATCCGCCGCCGCCCTTGCCTCCGACCGCCGCCGCCGACGCCGACCCAGCCTCCGACCGTCGCCGCCGCCACAGCTCCGACTGCCGCCGCCGTCAGATCTCAGATCTGAGTCAAAAAATCCAAAAAAAAGGTAAATTCTTCCTAAAAAAATATACTCTCTAATTTTTGTATACTCTCACTATTTGATTGTGATTATATGTAAAAATCTAGATTTTAGAATTTAATTATGAATTATTTTTGAATTTTGTGAAGAAATCTGAAAATTAGAAGGGAAATTATCAATAAATGTGAAATTTAGTGTGAAAATTATCAATAAATATAAAAATTATCAATAAATGTGAAAATTAGAGGGGAAATTATTAAATGGGAAATTATCAATAATTTTGTGAAATTTGTGAAGAATTAGTGTGTAATTTATCAATAATTTTGTGAAATTAGAGGGGAAATTATCAATAATTTCGAAAATTATTGTATTTAGATTTTAGAATTTAATTGTGAATTATTTACGAATTTTGTGAAGACGTATTAAATAATTTTGCGTATTTAGAGGTGAAATTATCAATTAATGTGGAAATTAGAGTTACTACCTAAATGTAAAAATTAGTAACAATCAATATTTATTTGGCTTTTCGTGTAATATTGATATTGAATTTTTCACTCTTCAGAGGTAACGATGAATGATCGAATTGTAATTCTCTGTTCTTATGATGGGAAGATTAATTACCTCGAGAATAATATGCCCGTTTATGAAGGAGGCACGACGAGACCGTTGTTCATAACAAAATCGTGTACTTTCGATGAGTTGGTTAATGAATTACACAAACTTACATTAACTAACTCACGTGAGTATCACCTCAGTGTGGTTTGCAATTATCCTGTTGTGGAGAACAGAACAAGTGGCATTCAAATATCAAGTGACTACGATATGGGTCTCATTCATGTCTTACACGACGAGAAGCGTTCGGTCGAATTGTTCATTGAAAAACATCAGAGAGATTTGGGCAAATCGTTGAACTACGAAGGAATGTATTCCCGCATGTTGGAGGATCCTGAAGTTGATTCTGTAGGCTTTTTATCTCCTCAACAAGATGAATGTTGGACACAATCACAATACATGAGCGGTCCTTCGTTCGTGGGCACTTCGAATGCTTTCGATACTAACACGGGAATTCAAGAAGATAATGCAAGTGTTGAATCCGAGAATGATGAAGAGGAGGGATTACAAATTAATAGCATGACCTTGATAGATCGTGATGACGGGGAAAACCAACACATCGACGGGGCTTATGTTAATAATGAGTATGTCGGCTTAGAGGATCCGCCGCCCGATGAACTTTATGTCGGTTTAGAGGATCCGCCGCCCGATGAACTTCAAGGAGATGAATGGATTGATAACTCCGCGATGGAAAGTGTTCCTATTGGCACTAATAGCGGTGTTGATACACAGGCCGAGGACTTCTCATTCATCAAGGGAGATCTTTACGAGAGTAAGGAGAAATTGATCCATGCTATTCGTACGTATTCCATTACAAAAAAATGTGAAGTTCAGGCCAACCAAAAATAATACTACAAGCTATAATGTGGTTTGTTTCTATCGCAAAGATGACGATGTCGAAGATAATAGTGGACACCACGACGGCAATGCGAGGTGTCCGTGGAAGCTTAATTCACGCTCGGGTTCAAGAGTAGGTGGGCAATTCAAAATCACGGCATACAATGGACTCCACACTTGTAGCAATCCTCGATTAGAGATGAATAACAAGAATGCGTCCTCTTCTTTTATATATCGATTGATTTTATCGCATCTAAGGGAGGATCTTGATCTAAGGCCGAAAGATATCCGTCTTTTAGTGCATAAAGCCACCAACTTGGATGTATCATATCACAAGTGTTGGAATGCTAGGAGGAAGGCGATGATAAAAATATTCGGGGATTGGAATAAATCGTATGAGATCTTACCTCATTATCTTGAAGCACTCAAAAGAGAAAATCCGGGGACTGTCTACGAAGTATCTTCGGACCCCGTTGATGGCGGAGAACGGCGGTTCACCGGTGTATTTTGGGCATTTGGGCCCTGTATTGAGGGGTTTCGTCATTGCCGTCCTCTTCTTAGCATTGATGGAACTCACTTATATGGTAAATACAAAGGCGTTTTGCTTGTTGCAACCGGAGTTGACGCGGATGGCGGGTTGTTTCCTTTAGCATTCGCAGTGGTTGATGTTGAAAATACAGAGAATTGGGCTTGGTTTTTTGCATGCATTAGATATCATATCCCTAGTGTGGGGACGCGGCCGATTACATTCATATCCGATAGGATGAAAGGAATTCCAAGAGCACTCCAACAACATTTCCCGTCACCACATGCACATCGCTATTGCTTGCGACATATTAGAGACAACTTCAAGAAGAAGTATGGAAACGCTCAGGTTCAAGACTTACTTTGGCACTAGTTGCTAAAACTTTTTACAGGCTTAATAAATTCTTTGTTCGACGTCGAGAACTTGGTGAAAATATGCGCTCCCAGCTAACACCGAAGGTTGATGAAATGCTAGCGGCTCGGATTGTACAAGCTCGGTCATTTCAGGTTGTACGATACAGTTTTAATGAATGGGAGGTGCTCGAGGGAATAACCCATAGAGAAAATCGCTCTTACAAAGTCAATATGTTGGTGGATCACACTTGTACGTGCACTTGCAATGTACCGCAACTACAATTGATTCCTTGTTCACATGTTGTAGCAGCTTGCTCCGACCTACAGGGTGGTGCTCGCATTTCACATTATGAATTTGTCGACGCTTGGTATTCTGCATACAACTATCAACAAACCTACAAAGAGTGTTTTCGTCCACCATACGATAGTCGACATTGGACACAAGATGGGCCACGGATATTACCTCCACTGTATAAAAGATCGGCGGGGCGCCCTCGTTCCGTGCGTATTAGAAATAGTATGGATGACGGACGTGAAGGAGCTAGGAGGAGAAATAAGTGCAGTAGATGTGATCAACCGGGTCACAACAAAAATAGGTGTCCAGTTAGTATTAGGCGTTGATTTGTATTATGTATCGTTTTGCACTATGTCATTCGTAGTTGTTATCTTTGAAGCGTATGATACTCGTTATTTGTAATATGTTCTGTATGCAACTCCGTTCATTTCACCCATGCATTTGTATTATGTAGCGTTTTGCACTATGTCCGAACCAATTTGTAATATGCTATGTATGATACTGTGTTCATTGCACTTTGTATATATGCTCATATTTTAATCACAGGTCTATTCATTATGGATCCGGGACCGGAGAATCCCGACGTTTTGTACCTTCAGGCGAGTCATTGTTCAGACCATATTGGTTCGGGAGAGGTAATACGAATAAATTAGATATATATTTCTTCGATTAATGTAATTTTTTAATGAATATACTTAAAACTGATTCTCGTTTTATGTGCAGCCCGTACCAGAGTACACGATGATCGAGCATTCCCATAGTCATTCGGCATGGGTCATAGAGGATGAGAGGGTACTAGCTTTGATCGCTCAGGCCGGTTTTCGACCGTGTTCGACGATTCGTTATATCAGGCTTGATTGGCCGCTTATCACTGCTTTGATTGAGAGGTGGAGGCCAGAGACCAACACCTTTCACATGCATATAGGGGAGTGCACGATCACTTTACAGGACGTGGCCGTCATACTTGGGCTCCGGATTGATGGACCGGTAGTTACGGGCACCGACGATCATAGTTGGCCGGAGGTATGTGGCCGGCTACTTGGACAGGTTCCCGACTTGAGGAGTGGTGCGATGAAGCTATCGTGGCTTCGTCAGACATTTCAGGGCGACATACCAGAGGATGCCTCTGATGAGACGCTCCAGTTTCATGCTCGTGCATACATATTGCACATGATAGGGTGCGTACTATTTCCTGATGCGAGCAAGACTCTCGTACATGCACGATGGCTGCCACTGCTGGAGGATTTTGGTGTATGCGGGGCACTATCGTGGGGCAGTGCGGTGTTGGCATATTTGTATCGAGAATTGAGTAGAGTATCTCTGATGCAGAATAAAGAATTCAAGGGATGCTGTACGTTGATACAGATTTGGTCATGGGAGCGCATTCATATTGGACGACCCACTTTACTTATGCACCGTGACTTAGAGGGGCAGTATCCGTTGGCATACAGGTATAATTGTACACACACATATTTCATTCGTAACCTGAATATTTGTACTTATATATTCGCTATTCTGCATATAGGTATAACGTGCGATACGCTCAGTACAAATCAGCGACGCGTCACCGTCAGTTTTACCGAAATGAGCTTGATGGCCTCCAGCATGAACAGGTAAATATAAAACTCAAGAAGTATGAATATTATAGTTTTTCTGTATGATAAAGATAAATGTTTTACTTTATTTCAGTTCAAGTGGAGACCCTATACACCGCCGGAGCTCGATATACATTCTCTTGCACCTATCTGCCGAGATAGTCCCGGCTTGTGGAGAGCCAGAGTTCCATTGATCTGTTGGGAGATCGTAGAGATGCATGTACCGGACCGTGTGCTACGGCAGTTTACACTCTCTCAGCATATTCCAGATCCTGTCGAGCAGATCAATCGTCGGCGGCGCCCTACATCGCACCGGACTGACTGGGCCGTAGTCCGTGCGGACTACATAGGCAGGTGGGTTCAGAGGTGGGATTGCATACAGGATACGAGGCCCACAGCTGTTGACTATACCACGTATATGCGTTGGTATTGGGGTATCACACGTAGATGGATCACGCGTGACCCACAGCCTTTAGCTGGACACATGCCACGCCCACCGACAGATAGTTACATCCCTAGTGGGATGAACGAGAGAGATTACGTAAGTTTCTAAGCTAAATTATAATATTTTTTATTGAGTTGATACTTAATAAATTGTTTACCACGCAGGTCCGTGTTTTAGATAGCATTGATGCTGATATTGATGCGCACGTGACTGAGATTCAGGATCAGGTGGCGTTAGGTCTCCTCAGCAGGATCAAGAAGAGCATAGCGCAGGTGTTCCATAAGACAGTCTCGGGAGGTCGAAACACCCCGGGGGTGTCTAGGAAAAGCCTAGACACCCCAGGGGTGTCTAGGCCCCCTACCTAGCCCCTATAGCCTCCTAGAGCCTATAAATAGCCCCCTTGGGCCTTACTTTTGAGAGGAGGATTTTTGGAGAGCCTTGGCGAAGCCCTGCTGCAGCAAAGAGTCATCGAGCGCTTCAACCAAGGAGGAGAGGTCGACATCAGCCTTCATCACCCTCTTTCCCCCTTCTTTCCTTAGTATTAGCCTTTAGCGTTGATACTAAGAAGAGCTATTACCTCGTTTTAGCCGAGGTATACGCTTATAGCTTCTAGATCTCACGCGGATCGACGAAGCTCTGTCCGATATTTCTGGATCAGAAGTTTCTAGATCTCACGCGGATCAACGAAACTCTGTCCGATTTATCCGGACCAGATCTGAGTGCCCCGGTGGTCCACGGATATCAACATCCCCGTCACAGGCCAAAGACCCACGCAAGCGAGACCGCACCAAAACGGGATCTCGTGTTTATTTTCGAAAAGTTGTAATCTTTGTTTTGTTGCACAAGGAGGTCTTATAAAAAGACCGACCTTTTTTATCGATTCTTGTTGTAACGTTTGAAGTTGTAACAGATTTCGAAAGCAATGAAAACAGCGACTTTCACCGAAAACAAGCTGGCGACCACAGTGGGAGCCAACGGCATCGCAACCGACGCCGTCGTGACGCAACCGGCACTTAAGATCCGGGTGAATGAAGAGGTCGAGTACGAGTTCGACCAGCAGAAGTACGAAGAATACCTCTCTTCCTCCTCCTCCAGATCCGCCTCTCCAAACGGGTACAGAAAGGTAACCTCTTTCATAAATGATTGCAGGTCCTTCGGTTCAAAAATCCAAGACCCCGTTGCCGCCTCTGCACTTGCACCACGCGACGTCCCCACGTCGTCCAAAATGGTCGAGATCGCAGATCCGGACTCCTCTTCCGCCGAAGAGATGACTGTAGGCATCAAAAATTGCCTATAGTTCTCCACAACCGGTTCAGTGTTAACGAACGACAATGAACATCACCATCCGATCCACATAAGCCTAATCGACGTCGACGAACGACTGAAGTGAATCGACGAGTTACATGAGCGGATAGGACTTCGGAATCACGAAGACCCGGACCAATCGGGAAGCCCGGCACTGTTCACAAAAAGGACAACGCCCTCCATGCCTCGACCACTCTACAGATAATCCAATCACCAGAGCGGATCAAACTCTTCGTCACGCATCCAACGCACCCGGAATCACTCAAATCCGAATCCGGACGAAGAATATACAGGGGAACCAACAAAACACCTAAACGGAGTCCCGGCCAGTCGAAATACCCCGGGGTGTCTAGGATCTCGAAAGAGAAACACCCGGGAAGCGGATTCTCACTGTCCGTGTACCAAATTTATCAGGGCAGTATTATCAACATGTAGCTGCCCCAAGACCGCTCCGCAGAGGGTCTCGATATTCGAGAGAATTTCCGATGGAATGACGAAGCCCAAATCAAGGCGTTCCCACCAAAGAGGATCAGTTGCTCAGGATGATGAACTCCTAGAAGTTACCATCAACATGGTCAACAAGGGAAAATCCCCAATCGTTTCAAGTGGTTCCGACCCTAATTTCTCTCCAAGAAGCAGAGTCAATTCGGGAGTAGCTCAGCTTCAGCTAGAAGCCGTCGGATATAACGACGACCATGGGATCCATGAAGGAGTCCATTCCGATGATGAGTTCTCAGATTCTTATTCCGCGCTCGCCTCTGACGATACAACGTAATCGTTGAAGAGGCCCTGGCTAAGCAGAAGGAAATCTTCAAGTTCGAAATGGAAATGGCTATGCAAGAGATGAGACAAATGCACGACCAACAAATCCGAGCTTTGTCAAATCAGCTAGTTGAATCCAGCCGTCACACCCAGAACGCCGCAATTGACAGCGATCCGGAAGTGGTCGAAGTCGTCATAGCTGACACACCGCCCAAAAATACTGGGGGTGGCCCCACTAAAAATAACAACGCTGGGGGTGGATCCATCAATGATGATAACACTGGGGGTGGCCGTATTATTCCTCTCGAAAATTATCCAAAACAAGATATAGATGAGGCCGAAAAGATGAAGGATCTCGAAAGAAAAATTGACGCCCTGATGTCTGCTCGAGAGGTGAAGAGGACCGGTATTCCGTGTCCTTACCCAAAAAAGTGGGATTCGATCCCGTATCCGGCGAAGTTCAACCTGATCAACTTCACGCCGTTCGGCGGGAAGGGCTCACCCACTCAGCATCTAATCTACTTCAAGTCCCACTTGGGGGTGATCTCTGGCAACGAGCCTTTGATGGTTCGGTCATTCGTTGGCACCCTTCGCGGGCCTGCTTTCGATTGGTACCG